ATTTTTTTTTTTTTTGCAAGAGTGCAATACTCTTGCAGTTTTATTCTTGTTGTTGCAAGATTCTTGCATTTTGAGTCTTGGTCTTGGTCTTGTTCTTGCAAGTCTAGTCTTGTTCTTGTTCTTGGTCTTGCTAAAAAAGTCTTGGTCTTGTTCTTGTCAATTGAGTACAGTCTTGATGTTGGTCTTGCTGATATTATTACAGTCTTGGTCTTGTTCTTGGTTTCGTAGAAATGCAAGACCAAGCCAAGACCGCAAGAACAAGAGTAATTCTGCTCATCACTACCTAAAACTATTTTTATTAAGATTGTGTTAAATGGAAATCTAACTCGTTCAAATTTTACGTTATCTCAGATAGCGTTTGACGTAAATATGAGCCTGTGCATATCATCACTAGTCACACTAAAAAAAAAAAAAATAGAAAATCCGCTACAGTAACATCCACATTATTAAAAATAATATTTTAATGCATAAAATAAAAGTTCATAAAAAAATAATCAATCTCTATACTAAATTGAATTTGATTAAATTAAACATGTATTATCTTATAATTATAAATATTATTAACATGTATATTACANTATCTTATAATTATAAATATTATTAACATGTATATTACATTAACAATAACAATTACATAGTAAGTATATATATATATTATATATTCATTTAAAACTAAAAAAATACATAACTCAAAAATACGTCTATAAATGTTAATCAAAGAAGATTCATCAACTTATTGATTTTAAATATGTTTTAAGTATTCTTTAGTCCTGACCACTAAGTTTCTTTTTGTATATCCTTTTTGTTAGTTTTATATTAATATTTATATATATATGTGGGAAAATGCAAACAGGCAATTACAGGAACAGAGCGAAGACGCAATAATATTATTTAATTTATATATTTATAAATTAATACACAAAAACTCTATTAAATGTTAACAAACAAAAATAACACATATATATTTAATTACGCACGAAAACTCTATATAAAATATTCACACAACACAGAAATAAAATATAAAACAGAATACACTTATAAACTACAGAATATACATAGAGACACGTCTTAGCCGACTCACGACTTGATTTAATCTCCCTCTATGTACTTGATACCACTATCTATCTCCAGACCCTGGAAGTGGTGCCATCTAGATACCAATAGTACCCACATATATATATTCTTAATTTTAAATATATTAGCCAAAAATGATAAATTATTATTATATGTATATTGTAACATATATTGCATAGATTTATCATATATTTCAAAATTAGAAAATACAGGTAATAACGAAATATATATTTTTCTAATTATTTAACATCATTTCTTTACTAATACATAAATGTATAACAGAATTAAGTATTGTAGCTGTCTCAAATATAACATTCTTATTTAATTTTCTAATCTTTTCTTCGTTAGATGGAACACTTAATATCTATAAAAGCGAAGAAAATTTTATTTATCGTTATATCGAAGGTAATTAATAAAAAAATTTTAAATACATTTTTTAAAGCGTATACATAATATATTTATATAATATATTAGACATAATGAATTCAATAAATATATACATGATTTTTTTTTTCACTTTTTATTGCTCATTGAGGGCGATTGTGCCTTCCCTAAGAGGTAGTTTCTTAACTATGTATACATCGGTATTGGTGGTTAGTTAATAGCTAGAGAGAGGGGATGGTAACTCCAATCACTAAACTGAAGTTTCGTTCAGCAAATGGAGACGCCCGTGACCAAGTCTCGAACCCGAGACAGTGTGCCACAGGCATTGCCGTGTTATCGAATCGTCCTACTATATTCTTAATAGCCAAACTAAATTTTAAATTTTAATACTCAAATACACAAAATTCAAATTTTATAGGTAAAGATATATTTATTGATAACGTTAATGAAGATTGTAATGACATAAATGGTAAGTAAATTAGTATATTTTGTTGATTACCAAAATCTTTCCTTTTGTTTTATTTGGAAGAATTGAATTAAAGAAGTTAACTCATTTAATAACCTAAATTTTTACAATTTTAAACTCAAAAAAATAGTGAGGATATAGAAACTACTATAGTTCACTAGATTGGACTACAGATGTGTTTGGCTATTTCTAAAAAACTAATGAAGTTATTTTAAACTTTGACAACATAATCTCACTATTTATTGTAGAGTTTTTAGTTAAATTTAAAACAAAAAAAAAATCTTGTTAAGTAGGAACCCTATGAATTTTCGTAAGGGATCCTAAAAAAATTATAGGAATCCCATCCCCGCGGATCCTAGTAATTTAGTGGGAATAGAAACACACACCATTGATAATACAAACAGTCATTTCCAATTTATGTTAGACATAATCAAACTTGCTTGCAAACAACAATTATGCCTCACAACCCTCCACACCAAGTGAGAAGACTTGTAAATGGGGTAGTATACAGAAAGGATAAGTTGATTTTTGGAAACTGTATGACACTGAACACCGGTCTCTGCTGTATTAGACCTCTATCGGCATCTTGTAGGAAAAGGATATACAGGGTGTTCAGTAAGTCAGGAAACGGGTATCCTGACTTACTGAACACCCTGTATATACTACAATAAGGAACAATATTGTAAAAATCAGGGATCTAATTAAGAAAAACATGTAAGATCAAGAATGAAAATAGCAAAGCTTCATAAAACTAAGTACATTACACTTTCGTGATAAACCGATATAGTGACTATGCCCTTGACTATGAATTTACTAATAACTAAAACTAACTAACTAAAGTAACCCTATTGGTCCTTTTTAATAATAGTATATTAATTATTTTATCTGGTTTGTAGAGAAATTTTTTAATAAAGCAGTAAAAAAAAGAAATGATATGATGAAAAAATTGTTAAAGGGTTACTTTCGTATTACAAAAGGTAAGATTTTTTAATTTTTAAAAATAATCAATATTAATGATAACATTAAATATCGATTGAGACGTTGTGCACTATAATAAATGATCGCCTTTTTCAATTTTAATTTTTATGAAAAAAAAATATTTTTCATAATAACTCACTTTTAGCTTCGATGCGAAGCTGAGAAGGTATGTTTTTACTAAGATGTGTTTTTTTTTTTGTTTCTGTTACCACTTTTTCTCAGCTCTCACCGAACCGATTTCTTTCAATGATACGTTTTTTACTTTAAATTGCCATAACTTTTTTAAAAATAACCAAATCAATATGATTTTTTTTTATATAGATGCAAAATATTATTACCTATAATTTGGCATATTTTTTTTTTATATCTGACTCTTTACCTGCCTACAGGNATTATAATATTTTACCAAATACCCCTAATTTCTTTTTATATTTAACCTACGCTTTCTTTCTCATTCACATTTTTATACTCTAACCTTTCTTTTCCTTTTTCTTTCTTTTTATTTTTGGTTTATTACAGACACTTTTATATATATCTTAAATTAAAGCTAATGTAATATACTTTATTATGCAAAAAAAATTTCGGACTTTATTTTATCTTCACGGTGAAAATGGCTACAGAATGCTATTATTGTGTAAAAATTCTCGATTTTATTTTTTATATTTTTAGCTTTATAATACTATAACTTATTGTAAAGTGTATGGATCAACATAATTTTTTTATGAGAAATAATATTTTTTAATAATCCCTTTTTCATTCGACATACTTTATTTTAATCAGGATATTAATAAGGAACCACCAGATCATGTAGCTTTTGGAATAATCCACATATTTTTTAAAATTAAACACTATCTAAAGATTTGCATCGAAGCGTTTTTTTTTTTATATTGATTTTAATCACTGTCAGATATTATTATACTTAATCCAACTATGCCGCGACCTCCCTGTGCTGGGTTTTTTTTTAATGTAAATTGAATATATTTTTAAATGTATTATAAAATATAAAAATAAAAAAAAGTGATTATATAATAAAAATAATCACTTGTGGATAATATTAATTAATATTCAAAATATGAATATTGATAATATGATTTAAAACTAAAAATTATTTAACTCAAAAAGTAAATATTACTGATTAATACACAATTCCTTTAATTAAAATCATATTCATTCCCAAGGAACGGGAATGGAAATACATTATCTTATATAAAAAAACAAAGTGGGGACAAGTGTAAATGATATCCAACAGTGATTATTTTACTATAAAAAAAACGCTTTGATGCATATCTTTGATAATGCTTAATTTTTAGAAGGAACTGTTTGATTATTTCAAAAGAAAATCAATTCCTATATCCTTATATACTTATTATAATTATATACTTATTATATACTTTATTGCAAGTTTTATGATTTATAAGTACAATACTTATTATAGTAATTAAATTTAGTATGAAATTGATATTCAATTATTTACTTATGTAGTTAATACAAATTAATCATAAATAGCAGTGTCCTTTCTTTTTATGTATATATTGAATAGACATTGAAGCTGCAAAAAATCTCCATGAAAATATTTATAAGTAACGCTTAAATCTTACTTACTATTATTTTTTGTAAAAGAAGGGGGCTAAATAGGGATACTTACTACCCTCCCTATTCGATTATACTATTTGACCTCAAGTTGTAAAAAACCAAAAAGAAAAAATGTAATCAAAGTGTTTTAATAAAAAAATAAGTAGGTAGTTAGACTAAATAAAATGTAAAAATCGTGAAATGGCTAAAATGGACAAAATGAAAGGTAAAGGTGGTAAAATAATGTAATGATGTCGGGAGTTGTACAATATTGAATAAATTGTGTTAAATATTCCTATAAAAATTTATGATTAATTTTTGTTGTTTATTAGGCAATGGATTGTTTGTTGTTTGAAAACATAAATTAAATTTGCACTTATATCTCGTAATATTATTTTAAGTATCCAATGTTGATTCGTGTATTAAATGCACTGTGTATGCATTCCACACTACTCAATGTATAGCCAATATAATTATTTACGAAAACGATTTTGATTTTAAATAATATGAATTCGTTACATATAATCTACGGCTGAATCTAAAGATTATATTTTGATTAGAAATATAGCTTATTTATTATTTTATATTTGTTAAATAAGTATTTTTTGAGAAAGTATACTTTATTGAGAAATTGATACCGATATTTTTTAAAGCTAAAAAAAGCCTAAGTGTTTATAAATTTAAAAATATTCTAAATCCAAATAAAATGAAAAAGCGACTAAGTCATAGAGAGTAAAAGTCTTGAGTAGAGTATCGCAGATTTTGTGTATTTTTAAATTACTGAAATAACTGGATATGATTAGAAAAAACTTTGTTAGGGATGACTTTTTATGAAAAGGGATAAACATACATAAGATAAGATGTATAAAAAAACGTTTTTTAAAGTTATAAGTTAAAAAAAAATTTTTTTTTTTAAATATCAAAATTTATTGATTTTAAAAATCTGGATATTTTGGAGAATTTCCTTATTTACTGGGCATTTTTTTAACCTTTAAGGGCAATGTTTTAAACTAGATACGATTTGTGGACTTTTGATTTATTGTTGAAAAAAATCGGTTTGATGATGAGATGAGGAATAGTACATATGCAAACAAAAATAATTAAAATTTAAACACATCATAATAATATTAATACTGCTTTACATCAAAACTAAAAAAAAAATTATGACTAAATTGTGTTTGTAAACATCGCTAACTTATTCAAATATCATATTTTTCTTTTTTACTAAAAATTAAGTTCAAATTTCAAATTAAAAACAAATTTTAATTATAATATTTCTTCATATTCATATTTATTTGATTCTTAGAAAAAAATTGAAGTAAAATCAAAGTGCTAATAGTTACGTAAAAATATACAAAACATTATGTGATGGTGTCACGTTTTCATAATCGTGAGAATTATTTTAATAAAATACAGACAGCACATCCGCTGTCTGAGACTGGTGAATTAACAAATAATATTTATTGCCAAATCGGCAATAGGTGTAATTATTATAAAAACCCAATAGACCTGACCATCGTGGTCAGTCGACTCCAGTGCCTTGTGTCATTCATCAGTCTCAGTACTCGGTTGTCGCTGTCCGGCTTACTGTTTAAAGTAAAGTCTTTGTTTATTCCTTTTCTAACCTATATACTCTCTCTGAAGTACTTGTGTCTTGCACTTCGTCTGCACCTCGTACTTTGTTATACTCCTTATCTGGTACGCCCAGTATTTGTGTCTTGCACTTCGTCTGCACCTTATACTCGGCTACCCCGTTCTCTCTTTGGAGTACTTGTGTCTTGCACTTCGTCTGCACCTCGTACTTCATTGTCCTCTCCTATACCCCAAGTATTTGTGTCTTGCACTTCGTCTGCACCTCATACTTTGGGCTCCTTTTGCGTACACCTGGTATTTGTGTCTTGCACTTCGTCTGCACCTCATACCTAGGTGTTACTCTTATTCTCCCTTCCTATAACAACAGCCTTTCGACACCCACAGCTAACCCGGAGTGTCAGCCGAGCACGGTGACTGCTGTACGACAACACGCACGTGAATACCTAGACAGCAGGCACCACCTCCTCATATTCATCTTCGTACACATAGTTTCACATTTACCGTTTATCATTTTTTCTCTTTACTGTGTTACGACAATTATATTTAGATCAATAAAATTTGATAGATATTAAAAAATAAATAGATATGTATCGAAAATTGATTAAAAAAGATTAAAGATAAAATAATCTTTATTAGGAATGTATCAGTAGTAATAAAATTGAAAAGAATAGCTAATAAATAGTTAAAAATACATCTATTGAAAATGAATATGAATATGAAAATCTATTTAAAAATGTTAATTTGAATTATTTCACCATGAAGTTATTGTGCATTTTTACACTATTCCTTTTTATTTATAATTTTATTTAGTTTCAGACGAACTATTGAGTAATAATGATAATGAAATACGCAAAATTAATAAACTTATTATAACATTAGAATATAACTCTATATTTGACGAACTGAATGTAGGAAATGATTTTAAAAATGTAGATGTTGTTACTTCAAGCATTTTATCCCTTTATGATTGTCAACACATTAAAAAATAATTTTTTTAATCTGTAGTCTTTCCAACAAATATTCCAAAAATACTATTATAGCATTTACTATGCCACATTTAGGTATTTGGCATTTCCTAGAAATTAATTAATAATTAATATCATATAAAATTAATCCTACTTGAAATTAATAGAAACTTTTCTGATTGGGGTTATATTGTTACACACCTAGTCTTTTAAATACGGCTTTGTATAATTATATTTACGCACATCAATTTTTATGTAATATAAATATACATAATCTTTTTATTAAGGTTATTAAATTATTATTTTCTAATAAATAATTTACATTGTTTAAACATTCTTTATATTTTTTTTATTAATATCACAGGTCTACGAAAAATGTTTTGTTGTCTATCATACATAAATTAATTCTGAATGTAATTTTGTTTTTACTTATTAAATTATAATTCTTCAATAAACAATATAATGATATAGTTATAAATTATAATATTATATATACACAAGATTAATTAATTAAATATACAATGCAATGTCCAACAAACAAAAACTACTTTTAAGCTAAAAAATTAATACAAAGCTAATATAAGCAACCATAAAGGTAAATGCGAGTATTAAATTACTTGCTTCAACCTTCATAACCTCCTATATTATTATTTAATACTTTGTACGTATATCAGTCTTTTATAAAAGTATTTTTTCTATTAATGTAATAAACGGCTATGCGTCATTTATTTGTTTTAAACACTTATATCGCCTACTTCATTTATTCTACACTATGATTTTAAGCAATATTCCATAAAGCTTCACATAACAAAAAGAAAAATAGAATTAAGGTAATGTAGTAATACAAAAATAAGCAAAGGGTGATTGAGGTATTTTTGACCAGTGTTGGATATTTGGAGATTTGGTAAATTTAGGAGAAATGAGGTTCTATCGGGGTTGTAGAGTCCTAGGGTTTAGAACAATAAAGACAAGTAGATATAAAAAGAAATTATTAAAGTTTTTCTATAAAGGTATTACAAATGACCTAACTGGTAAGTACCTGAAATAATACACTGAGGCAACGAAGAGGCGGTGGCCATCTCACGAATACCATATAATGTGATTATGTATAAGGTACGAACTAGTCAGTAACAATTAATAAAGTTTGAAAATAAATATAAATATGTGAAACTTGAGATACTTATCAATATTATAGAACAAAATTGGCTAAAATAATAATAAAAAAAACGGTAGCACAGTGGGGTCGCGGCATAGTGGAGACATTGCATAGTTGGGTTCAGTCTAGATTTAATCTGACAGTGATTAAAATCACTATCATAAGAAACGCTTCGATGCAAATCTGTAGATAGTGTTTAATTTTAAAAAATTGTTGGATAATTGCAAAAGCAACATCAACTTCTATTAAAATAAAATACAAAACCCATAATTTTCATACAAAAATAGCATATTTTTGAATATGGTAGCCATTTGCGTATAGAAGATAGGTCGTCGGGACAAATTTTTTTTTTTCATTTTGTAGTACATAAAATAAGCTTTAATTTTATATATGTTTAAAGGACGCAGTATTTCCGGAACATTATCAAAAATCAAGTTGAAAAAGTTATTTTTTGTAAAAAAATTACTATTTTAAATTCCCTCAGTGAGCAGAATAAGTGTTAGATTTTCAAAAAAAATTATATCAAATGAAAGGGAAATATCTAAGGTTTCAATACAAAAAAATATTATTTTTATTTGTTCATTTTTGAAAAAGTTATGGCAGTTTTAAGTACAAAAAACATCCCGATAAAAGGTCATTTTTATCGCAAACATTACATTTTTTTTTAAATTTTCGACAGCCATTTGCACATAGAAGATAAGATGTCGGGACAAATTTTTTTTTTTGATTTGATAGTACATAAAATAAGCTTTAATTTGATATATGTTTAAAGGACGCAGTATTTCCGGAACATTTTCAAAAGTTCAGTTGAAAAAAATTTATGTTTTTTACAATATTTTAAGTTTTGAACGCCCCCTATATAAGGAGAAATTGTCCAATTTTAATAAAAAGTATGTCAAATGAAAGATGTACTTATAATGTATTTAGAAAAAAAAAATTTGTGCTGATATATACATTTTTCAAAAAGTTATAGCATTTTTAAGTTGAAAATTTAAAATCGAAAATCGAAAATTTTAACACAAAAATAGTGTTTTTTTAACTACGGCAGCCGTTTAAATGTAGAAGAAAAAGTGTCGGGACAAATTTTTTTTTTTCATTTTATAGTACATAAAATAAGCTTTAATTTGATATATGTTTAAAGGACGCAGTATTTCCGGAACATTTTCAAAAATTAAGTTGAAAAAGTTAGTTTTTGTAAAAAAGTTGCTATTTTAAATCTCCCCCAATGAGCAGGTTAAGTGTTAGATTTTCAAAAAAATGATATCAAATGAAAGGTAAATATTTAAGGTTTTAGTATAAAAAAAAATTATGTTGATTTGTTGATTTTTCAAAAAGTTATGGAAGTTTTAAGAAAAAAAAGTGAAAAAATTACGAAAATTAGCGATTTTTAAATTTGTAATTTTTTTGGATATTTCCCCCATTTGCGGGGAACGAGGGAATTTTTTTCAATTTTTAAGGGTAATGTCTTCAACTAGATACGATTTGTGATCTTTTGACGTATTTTTGAAAGAAATCGGTCCAGTGAGAGCTGAGAAAAAGTGGCAACAGACATAAAAAAAAAAAAAAACACATCATAGTAAAATTAATACCTTCTCAGCTTCGCATCGAAGCTAATAAATGGGTAAAATAGTAAATGTACTTGGCTGTTGAAGTATATTTATGTATTATTACTCACTACATCAAATATTGTATTGAGATAAATTCTCTTAAAATTATATTGCTTTATTGTTATTACATACCATTTACTATACCAGACCTTGAATATAATTAGGAATTGTGTGATCATGTGTCATTGATCCATATTTATAAATTAACTCTTCAATACTAGGTATGACATTACCAGAATATAAGTTAGTATAATCTTGTAATAAATCTAGGCTCATTGAAATTGGTCCCATTATTTTTTGACATTGACTTAAAAATTCAATGTCACATCTATTAAATCTGTAAATATATATATAGACGATAAAATATCAATAAATTATTTATTTTATTTTAGTATTAACTCAATAACAGCCAATTTATCCATAATAATTCTAAATTTAAGATCATTGTTTTTAATTAATTTATCAAGCAACACCACTGCATTATACAATAAATTTCAAAGTGTCTCATTGGGTATTGTTAAATAAATGCCCAGATTTTGTTTGATTAAATCAGCTGACTTGGTCAAGCACCTTTGTTTGTTCAACAAAGTGATTCTGGACTGTTTTTTAAAAGCAGCATTAGACAAAGCTTTTTTAGAGTCCTTTACAAAAATTGTTAATTAAATAAATAAAATATTTGATCTAAAATGTAACTTTTTAAATGTGCAATGGATGGCTATCTACATATATTAATTTTTATTTACCATTGTTGCTATCAAATTAATTGTGTGTGCACAACATCAGTGATTTTGGGTAATGTTTACGTTTTTGGGTTGTTTGGGTAACGCATAATGATAATCTTGTTCTTCATTATTTAAAATGCTCAAATTGACGACATAAATTTTTTCTGATTCATTTTATCTAATGAACATCTAATTTTAATTCATTGATTTATTCACAAGCAACTAATCAGAAATTTCATAATTTTCATCATCAAGTACATTGTTCCAATGTTCTAAAAAATATAATAAGGGAGAAATTCAAGCTAATTTATGAGAGGTTAATTTAAAATAATGATTTTCCATTAATATAAATGAAAAAATTAATACTTTCCGAAATATAAATAATTTTATAGTTATTAATTATATTAATATGAATAGATCTTGCTTAAAATATTTTACAAAATTAGAACCATTTCATGTAATACATCAAAATAATTTATCTGAAATTTCAAACTTTGTGTATACTTCATCTATAGCTTTAACTAAGATATCATATGTATGTGACCCTTCTAGTCTTCTCAGTGTTAAAAGACAATTAATTTTTAATAAATCCTCTTTGGTCCATGTGACACTGTTATTCCAATGTATGATCTAACAAAATATATTATATTACTACCTATAAAATCTGTTAATAGGTACCTATACAAATAAAAATAAATATATTATTCACTTTTTAAAAATCGACCAACATCTGTAGTCGTAGCAATAAGGTTACATTAAAACATCTCAGATTTTATTTTGAAGGATAATTTACGAAAGTCATTCTCAATACTTTTCATTAAAGGAGGCCGAGGAATAAATTTTCTGTTGGAGAAAGCTCGTTCAATTATTTTCTTTTAAAATGGGATTTTCAATTATTCTAAATAGTAAATAAACACTTAAAATACATTTTTGCAGTAATTGAAATTTATCTGAATTCAAAATTATATAATATTGATAACAAATAATAATAGTTTTTACAAAAACGTATGATATAAGTTTTTTGATTTAGGTTCATTCCATGTGAATCCACCTACGTGTGTGCTGCTATAGTTCAGAAATTTTTGAAATTTTTATCATAAATTACTTAAAGGTCATTGAGAACAAAAAAAAAATTTTTTTTTTTTTAATGTTTTTTACCACATAGGGCATTTTTTATAATTAGAAACATGAAAAAACTCCTTATGTTCTAGAGCCTATAACTTCACATCAAAATAAGCTATCACAGTGGAACTAATGCTGTTTTACTCACATTAAATAATACTTCAATTTTATTCTTAAGTTTATAAACTTAAAAAATTTTTAACATCGAAATTTTGATTTAAATTTTTTAAATCTTGCAGTATTTTGATAGCAAAATTTAATTAAATAGGTGATATACCTAAATTGTTACAAGCGTTATTTATTGTTTCTAAATTATTTTCTATAGACTCATACACGGGTTCATCATGCTTAACACTCATATTCATGTAATCAGCAGAAACTTTCAAACGGTTTAAACATGTTTTATATAAAGTCTTTCCAGGTATTAATTCCAAATTTGAATATTAAAGAGCGGTTTGTAGTTTCATTTCAATGTAACCTTTATGGACAGTTATTTTATGTATATTAATTGGATTAGAACATTTTCTACCAAACACAAAATAAAAACAATCTACAATTTTACTGTGATACTCACAAATTGTAGTTAAAGAACAGCTTATTCTTTAAGCAAGGAGTTATTAGTTTTCATAAGAAAAATCGAAAATGTTTAATAATAT